ACCATACTCTTTCTTTTTTCCTTTTTTTCCAAAGCCACAGTTTTACTTTCTTTTACCAGCATCGTGTTCATTGGTGGTGGGGTCATTTCCTTTAATTCTTTCTGTGCCTCTCTTAACATGTCTTCTTTCTGCAATGCTTCGAGAAAAGTGATGTATATCTCTTCCACATMCCCTWTTGATAAAAGATAAACAATAACATGTATACAAGTATTTTTTGACTTTTTGTTAAATCAGATGTGCCGAAATAGTAATTGTTTCCATAATCTGGTTTTATTGTCACATCTCTAACAGTAGCCTCCCCATTTTTAAACTTCGGATAAATAAATCTAACTTGGTCTGATCCATCTTGCTGWTGTAGGTTATCATCTGAGCTCCAGTACATTGAGAAACGTGGAAGTCGAACAATTCCCATGAGAATAAAAATTCCTACAAAGGCTTTCATTTCCCCTATGGTTACTGGGCTCCATTTAGTTTTGTGTTTATTTGGATTTGCTGTTTTTTGTTGTCCATAATATCTGTTAGTCTCAAGAACTAGGACATCCCATAGGGCCTCACTGAATAATCTCTCCAAGTAAAATATTTCATCAATATCATCATGAAACCTGTATGTAGGTCCAGGATGCGGATCAGTAAAATCAGGAGGTGGTTGAGACAAATAGGTAGAGGTCCAAGCAAAAGGAAGAGGGTTCACTGGTCGCTGTATCACATTTGCTCTTTTTCCACGTGCACGTCCACGGCGTCCTTGTCCTCTTCCTAAATTTTGTTGTGGTCTTGTTGGGCTTCTATCACGTCCAGAGGGGCGATTGTCAYCTACAAAAAATATTATTCTGTCTTAATATTTTTATGACAATTAAAATTTGATGTACAAATTCACAAGAAATATAAATCTAARCAATCTGTTGAAATGAAGGAATATTCATGTTACTGCGATGCTTTTATTGCTTACCTTCAGATTCGGTCGAATTATTTTCATCAGAGTCGATTATTTCTTCCTCTTGATTAGATTGTGGTTCCAAGTCACTTTCACTCGAGTCTGAAACATCCGAAATATCATCCTCGCTTCCCTCTGACATTCCTCCGTCCGAATCATCATTTAAAACTCATCTGAGTACTTCATCCAAAGGAAGGTGTCGTCTTGCCGCCATTTTTAAATCCCAATTTCCAAAAAAARTTGGTTTTGCAGCGATTTGAAGTTCAAGATTATCGAGGAGAGAGGCAAAATCAAAATCAAAATGGCCGACAACTTGTAAAGAATCTCCCAGGCATCTCGTTTAGAGTCCAGGCCTAACAGTTAGGTCATAAATATTCAAAATAAATGACGTAGTGAAAATCGTAAAAATATGTACGATTGGCAATTAAAGGGTTAATGTTAACTTCAGTGTTGGTATCAGGGATGTGAAATGCTATTCGTATTGAAGTTTCAATTACTAAATGTAGTTACCCATCATGTCCGAACACTTAGGAGACTGAGCGCGTACGTCTACTTTGTCAAGAGAATATGAATGTTCTCTTGACTTTGTAGATTCGCGAGAGCAAGATAAAACAAGAAAC